ATATATATATATATATATATATATATATATATATATATATATATATATATATATATATATATATATATATATATATATATATATATATATATATATATATATATATATATATAATATATATATATATGTATATAATATATATATTATATATATTACTGTAGTCCCCACGATAACATCTTTTCTTTATATATATTATAGTATATATATATATACATATCTTCTCTTTATATATATATATATATATATATATATATATATATATATATATATATATATATATATATATATATATATATATATATATATATATATATATATATATATATGTTGTATATATGGAATGGTTCGAGACCAATGCCATTAGTACCGAGGTCGTCAAACCCAAAATCTGGCTTCGATATGTTGATTATACCTTTATAATCTGGAACGGAACCGATAGACAGTTGGATTCCTTTCTTAATCATCTTAATTCACGAAATAACTCAATCACATTCACGATTGAGTAAGAGAAAACTTCTCTCTGCCGTTTCTGGATGTTTTTGTAAGCAGGAGCGATGGATCCATTAGCACTTCTGTATATAGAAAACCAACACATACAGAACAATATTTAAATTCTCAGTCGAACCATTCTGAAGCAACCAAAAGAGGTATAATTAAAACACTATGTCATAGAGCAATCAGTATATCCAGTAACCAAGAATCTCTGAATTCTGAACTAAATAATATTAAAACCGATTTGCTTTCAGAATGGTTACTCTGCAAAATCCCTAGACAATATTATATCCAATTGCAGGTCCGACTCATTGGTACGCCAGCCTGAGGAGGATGCTCTCTCTCTCCCTCTTGACGATTCCATATGTGAAACGAACATCGGAGAAGGTTAGGCGAATAGCTAAGCAATATAAAATTAAAACTGTTTTTAAGTCTGGGACTACTCTAATAAGTGTCCTAACAAAAACAAAACCTTAATCATCAAACCAAGGGAAAGAGTGCATCTACGAGGTACCTTTAGACTGAGTCGTATATTGTGACAAAACGTCCTGTACATGTACGACTTGACGAACATAAAAACATACGCAAAGAGGTGAAACAATGAAGTCGGGCATTGCAGATCATGTGTGGTCCAAACACCACAACATAAAATGGTCGGAAGCCCGGGTTGTTCTCAAGGAACCCCATTGGAAAATAGCGCAAATTTAAAGAGGCCGTATTCAATTCTAACAATAATAAAATCTTTAGCAATCCTAGTATGGAAATTTCAACAATGTGGCAACCACTCATAAAACGCTCCAATGCAGGTGTTCTTAGTGGAAAACCTCATGCTTGACTGCACCCAACAAATTCACGGGTGAATGCTCGGCTCTAGTATACAGGGTGGCCCATCGAAAACGTTCCGCAAGGCATAATGGCCAGGGTATTTTTTTTTCAGAAAATCCAAAAACACGTCAATTTTGTTTGCGAGGGAACAACTTTTGCCCCAAAATGATTGCAAAATCTTCAACCCTCTAAGCGGGGGTGTCATCCCCCAACTTTTTTCAGATGGGAAGGGGGGTCAAGTGGCGCCACAATGAAAAGAGCTTTCTATTCTCTATATTTCCCCTCTTCGTTTTTGAAAATCGGTCGAGTCATTGAGAAAATATGAAGGATTGAAATTTGAAAAGTTTGTTTAAACATTTATCAGAGTAAATGATAAGGATAAATTCCTTCGACCAATTTGCTGTTTTTTCTTATTATTTCTAGATGTTTACGCATTTTTTCATTTGCCACATGGTTGAACGATCAGATGCGGTAGTTGCTAGATAGCTGTTCTGTGACTTGTGCGTTGAAGTTCTTCTCAATATCGTTAAACTTTTTAACAATTAATGGTGTACTCACTTGCAAAAAAAGTGGATATAATCGAACTTTATTTTGAAAAATAATGATTGTGGCAATCGGTTTGCGCAGATATTCAATGAACGCCATCCTGACAAACACCTTTATGGCAAAATTGTTCGCGATTTAGTAGCAAAATTTCACGAAACTGGTTCCGTTATGAATAAAAAGAGGCAGAGGGAAAATCCTGTAGTAAATGAAACTATGGAGGTATTCGTATTGGGCCAAGTTGCCATGGATAGTACGCTGAGTACAAGAAAATTAGCCAATGAGACCGCGACCGGCGTTAATCGTACAAGTTTCCAAATGATATTAAAAAAAACACAAGTTCAACCCGTACAAAATTCAGTTGGTACAAGAACTCAATGAAGACGATTTTGATCGTCGCGGGCTGGTATTTTTGGAAATTCTATTGTAGGTCAGTTTAACGATATTGAGACCGCACCTGATCGTTCAACCTTGTGGAAAGTGAAAAAATGCGTAAACATCTAGAAATAATAAGAAAAAACAGCAAATTGGTCGAAGGAATTTATCCTTATCATTTACTCTGATAAATGTTTAAATAAACTTTTCAAATTTCAATCCTTCATATTTTCTCAATGACTCGACCGATTTTCAAAAACGAAGCGGGGAAATATAGAGAATAGAAAGCTCTTTTCATTGGGGCGCCACATGACCCTCCTTCCCATTTGAAAAAAGTTGGGGGATGACCCCCCCGCTTAGAGGGTTGAAGATTGTGCAATCATTTTTGGGGCAAAAGTTGTCCCCCTCACAAACAAAATTGACGTGTTTTTAGATTTTTTGAAAAAAAAATATCCTGGCCGTTATGTCTTGCGGAACGTTTTCGATGGGCCACCCTGTATAAGCTCACTAGTTTTAGGATTTAGTTTAGTTCACACTTGATAACGGTCAGTGATACTTCTGACCGAAACGTTGTGTAAGCAAAAATAAATAAAGACAAGTCCGAAACTCTTTTAGTTTTAATACTGAATCATTGTCTACCACATTCAAAGTAGTAGTAGTAGTAAAATAATAAAACAATTTTTAGAATACCTTCATTATCTAACCAAACAATTCTAAAAGTAGGATATAAAAAATACATTTTGACATTTAGTATTGTGCAAACAAGTTGCCAGCATGAACAAATAATATGAATTTCACGATGCCATCTCCATAAATGCGGAAGATATTCTTTTACTTTGCATCACTTTTTCTCTAATTTTTACAACTAAATTTATTTTTCTTTAAAAACTATTAACAGATTCAATAAATTTAACTGAATATACAGGGTGTCCCAAAATTCCGTGGACTACTACGTATTTGCCTGATTTTGCATTGTTACCCTGTTAGTTTTAATTTAAAAATAGATGCAGTTTTTCTGAAATTACTTAAAATCGGCTTGTTCAAATTTGGCATGTGCATTCAGCGTACGCAGAAAAGCAACAGGAGACCCAATATTTGGATAGTTCACAAGACGATGCACCACCATGTTAAGGCAAGCTGGGCTAGTCAAAAGTCATCAGGGAAATTTTGGCAGCTCTTGTCAAAAAATTACCGACCTTCGATAGTTTTGATTTTATTACTTTTCTTGTTTAAAGTTAATCAACTGACGAATTACAGTTACTTTGTTACTTTATAACCCAAGTCTGAAAAGTGATATTATATCACCTGACGTTAATATATCACCGCAATGTATTTTATTACTGTGCTTAGTATTTTTATAGTATTATAAAATATTCCGGAATGTAAAATTAATTGATTTTTTGTAGTTGAAGTCTAGAATGCCAAGACATGCCCCCAAGCTGAAAATATTTTTGTTGTATATAACTACCACTAATCTACTTTCAAAATTTGTTTTGTTTTGTCTGCACATTTTGGTACTACTTTTTTTATTTTTATTTTCCAGGTTCTATCTATATTATCTCCAAAATTTAGTCCAATCACTAGTTGAAATAGTGAGAAGGAAAAAATCAAAAAAGAAAGTCGAAAATTTTACGCTATTACACGTCACGATTTTGATACTATTATATTAGTCATTTGGCAAGATGATAAAATCACTCTTGCTCAATCTCTTGCTCATATATTTGGTTTGGGAAGCAGTTGCGTAACTATCGATGTGCCGTGTGTGCGAAACAAACGGGCCCGGGCCCTCGTGGGGTCCCCGCATTCCCATATCTACCACATGCTATCGCGAATCAAGCAGAATCGGGCGATCCCGAACTAAGTTCTTATCTATCACATGTCTTCTTAACTACTTAACTAACACACGCTATCGCGAAAATAACTTATTACTTTACACTTGTTCTTGTGCAATTTTGTATCTGTGTTTTCCTTTATATTTTGCAAAATAAAAATAACTGGAAATATGTGATTTTTCATTAGAGCATTAAATATGACAAAAAAAGGAAATTTGCTGTATTGTCACTGGATTTCTGTACCATCGAATAGAAATAGAACTAAGCTAGTTGTAGCATTAAAAAGAGCATGAAAAATTATACTGGCCAAACTAGTTAACTCAAAATCACAAAAACTCTAGTTACCTAATGGTTGTATTAAGGGGACGAGACAGGTGAGTTACGAGAGGTGCCCGAAACTGCCACTTTTTTTAGCAATTATTTCAATAGAAAATGAAGTTACTCGTACAATAGACATTGGTAATGTGGTGTCAATTTTCGCCCATGCTAAAGCAAGGAAAAAAGAATTTTAACATGTTCATGTTCCTATTTACATTGTTTATTTTAATTTAGTTAGTTTTGTTGTTGTTTTTTGTTTTGTTTTTATTTATTTCATATTTTATATGTTTTGGGTTACATATTCTGTGTTGCAGTAATAAATAATACTATATAAAAATTAATTTGATAATGTTATTTTTAACCTAAAATATGGGGGGCCCGGTAAAATCTTTGCACACAGGCCCGTGAGTCTGTTGTTACGCCACTGTTGGAAGTGTCCGCTATCTTGGTTTTTATGTTCTTTTTGCAATTTACAAAAAAGGTTATTCCAAGAATTCTCTACAACTTTTGTTTAAGTAATTTTGCAAAAAATGTTATTTATCCTAATTCATTAATAATTTGCCAAAAAGTTATGACATAAATGTGGACTGGAAACAATCTATGAAAAAACTAATATATAGGTAATAATTTATTTTATTTTATAAAATAGATATAATAAATTACTAAAAATACTTAAAAGTGAATCAATGGATATAATTATACATAACATTTTTCACTTAACATTGCATGTGTTACTTTTTGTTTTAATTTATTTAATCATATAAATAAATAGTTATGTATGAAATTATTATAAAGAAATATTTTCAAAATTATAAAAAAGAAATAAATCGTCGCCTTTCTCATGAAGAAATCTAATAAAATTTTAAAAACTGAGATATTTTGATATTCTCAAGTAACCCTTGAGAACTTGAGATGACTACGATGCTTTAAACCTAACCCGTTTTCGTATGTTAGTCCTACTGTAAAATTTATAGTTGGTTAGGCCTCTTCATGATGAAGACGACGAAATTATTACTACTTTCATTTTAACAAAATTCTATTCATTTTACCAAAAAATAAATAATTTTCATTACCTTGATAATACCCTTGATTATCAATCACTGATATTTGCATTGTATTAGATAAAATTCAGCAGTACATTCTGCTTAAATTGTAATAAATAAAACTAAATGCGAAAGAGATCATATCTCTGATTTGATATTTTTTGAATATTTCTCCCCCCTCTTAAGAAAAATGATATTAATTGCAGTAATTAATAATAAACCCAGTATAAATTCTTTTCAAAAATGAACAAAAAATCAGTTTTGGATTGATAAGTATTTAAATTTGTTACGTTTTAAAACCTTCAAAAATAATTTTTAATCACAAAAAATCACATTATGAATTTTGGGACGCTAAATATTCTGCATATTTCTTTTCTTGGGCTTGATACAATTTTTGTAATTTCTTTATCTGACCTTTACTAATCCCTTTGCCCTCTGTGTCGTGCGTGGGAAATCCTTTATCGTCAAATTTGGAATATTTATCAGTCTCTGACCTAAACATTTCACTCGGAGCGATTTTCTTCTGCGCATCTTTCGCTGCTTGAGCCGCGGCTAATTCAGCTTTTTTCCGTTCTTTCAATAATAGTTTTTCTTGCTCAGCCTTCTTCTTTGCTTCTTTTTCCTTTAATAGTGTCTCTCTGTCCACCAATTTTACAGCACTGCTACCGTCTATTTAAGAATTAAAGAAAATTATTAGAAAATGATTTATTTTCCCTCTATTGAATAGTTTAAAAATAATTTTCCTAGTAGTGTCACCTATCCTTTTTCTATCTGTCACGCAATTTTTTGTGGTACTTTTATCTATAGTTTGTCCAACGGGAGAATCTCTGACAGTGACAGTTATGTCTATCATTTTAATTCACATGCAAATCGTATTTACTGTCAGTTTTTGGATGTCGTCTGTCAAAATGTTACCTTAGTCGTTGGACAGATTATATTACGAATTTTTCATTTATTGATAGCTATTGTAAAATATACTTTGATGCTACTAAAAGGATTCCAGACTTCCATCTATTTATTTAACATACAGAACGTTTTGGACAGAAGTATCACTGGACATTTTCAAGTGTGCTACTGAGCCACAGCAATACAGTCAAGACTAGGGTTGTCCACTGAGTAAAACACAGCATTGATAAGTTTTATTAAACGGTTGCCATATTGTCGAAATTTCGATCTTAGATCGCTTTGTTTACTTTAAAAAACCTTCGAAATTATTACTCTGAGAAGTACCTGAGAATATTTTATCGAGTTCTAAGAAAGACTCATTAGTAGTGAGGGGATAACTCAAACGAAAATGCGCTCGAGTACTCGATTATTGAAATTATCGACATCGCTCGATTATGAACGAGCGATGCAAGTGACGAGTTACGAGCGACGAACGCAAGCGATCCTAGAATGAAATAAATTGAAATCCGATTTTAATGTGACATACTCGATAAAAAGCCGAGCGAATATTCTACATACATTGCAGGTAGCAAATTTATTGAAATAAACTAAATCAATCGATCGAGCGAATCGCTTGCTACTTGCCATTCATCACCGAAAGAATATGCGCCCTGCACCCGCAACTTACTGCTTGGCGCTTGGAGTTAACGAGTACTTACAACAAGCGACGGGCGAAAAACCGTATTTTTAAATACGAGCGATATTTCGCTCGAGCGATCGCTCGATTATTGCAATCGCTTGAAACTCGAGTACTCAATTATTGAAATTAATCGGTTTTTCCCATCACTACTCATTAGTGCTTCAGACTGAGAAAGAAGTTCCTTTTCTGGACGATTCCATAGGTATACAGGATGTCCCAGGCTAAGCGTGCATTAGAAGTTTCAAGCATTAGAAAAATATTTTCAATATGGCATCACTTCCGGAAATACCGGAAGTTGAGAGAAACTTTCTTATTTTAAATAGGCACCCACATTTTTCATATTTAAATTCTCTGTAAAATTTTATGAATTTTGACATCTATCACTCTATACCTAACATTAACCGTTTTTTGACAAAAAAAAATATTAAAAATTTGTGGACGAAAAAAAACTGCCTGTCAAAAAAATGTGTATACCCTAAATGTCAAGTTTAGTGATTACCACAGCCACTTTGACATAAAGAGAAGCCATATGGCTATCTATTTCAAAGATTAAATTGCTTGAATGTCATATAAAACTGGCCGCAGCTGTCATGGAATTGAGTATGTAGTTTATAAAGTTTTAAGCAGCAGTATTTATAATATACGAAATTCAAATAATTAATTTTCTGACAGAAGGAAATAAACTGTGATTGTCTGTTAATGTCAAAGGAAGCTAGATAAAATCAAGAGAAATATAAGCTTTAAAGCTAAATCTTAAATAACTTAAAAACGATATATTTTAGGTATAGGAACATGTATAATCAAAAATTAACGAATTGAAAAATCTTTTTACTAGTAAAATAAAAAGCGGGTATCCATTCGAAAAAAATGATTTATGATAATTTTTTAATCGCTTAATTCCATGACAACTACGGTCAATATTATATAGACAATCAAACAATTTAATTTTTGAAATAGATAGCCACATATGATATCTATATATCTATAGATAGTCTTCTCTTTATGTCACAATGGCTGTGGTAATCACTAAATTTGACGTTTAGGTTATACACATTTTTTTGACAGAGCATTTTTTTAGTCCAAAAATGTTAAGTATTTTTTTCTTAAAACGGTAAATGTTAGATTTAGAGTGTTTGATGTCAAAATTCATAAAATTTTACAGAGAATTTAAGTATGTAATGGGGGTACCTATTTAAAATAAGAAAGTTGCTGTCAACTTCCGGTATTTCCGGAAATGCCGCCATATTTCATATCTTTAATCAATAGATCTCGTTATGAAACAATGATGTGCAAAAAATATCCAATCTTGATATTGTAGTTCCCTAGAAACTTCTAATGCACCCTCAGCCGGGGACACCCTGTATGAAGACCGACAGAAAGGGCCAAGCAATCAAACTTAAAACTACTTTTAAAGTCTGGAGGGGAAAAAATTGCAAAAAAAACTACTAGAAGTGTTTCTGGGGTCGAAATATACCAATCCCAAAAATATTTGCACTTATTTAAGACTTACTCTGTATAAATGAAATAAATTAAGTTGTTGATCAAAATTCATATCTATTCTTTATATTGCTTACTTACTACAAATAACATTGACTTCAAATATTGTATTCGAAATTTATTAGTGGTATTATGATGATTATTTTTGATTATGATACCACTTTTTCTATATTAAAACGCATCAGTCTGCTTTTCATGTCCTCATTTACGATTCTAGCTTCTGAGAGAAAAGACGTTGACTATAGATACTACCACAGATTATACAGATTATAAACTTATCGTCAAAAGCATTGTTTTTCGTGGTTCCAATTTTCAGAGTCGCGCACTAGTTAGGTTACTAGTTTGCGCACATAGCACGCCCACTTATATGCAGAGAGATAATTTGCAATAAATTGTATTAATATCTGATACTTGACTAGAATGTATGCCCACCAAATTTAAGGATTGTCATTCTGTGGCAATGTTATTTATTTTCAGGTAGTTGGTTTCTAGCATTACTGTCACTTCATCATAACAGTCCTAAAGTTCTGGTGTTTCCCCATTCTCCCTATAGAATATGCATTCGCCGTTTTTCTTACCTCAATCTACTGAGGTATTCATTGAAAAGACAGTGTCCTATTAAAAATCCCATGACAATCCAAAGACTGTCCTTACTTAAAACAAGGAAAATCTTTGATTTTTCTCGGTCGTAAGTGAACTCACTCAGATAAATGAATAATATAATAATAGCTCCCGTATATAGCGCTTAACGCCTTGGGAGTAGCAAGGTACAGCCTGTCGTACTAGAGCCGTTGGGTATACAAGGAAGGTAATGTGGCTAGCATTACGCTTCAACCGCCTATTATTACCTCAGGATTGTACTGTTACCCAAGTACTCATTTAAGACTGAGTCGACTTAGGTACCCAAAATTCTATCCATGTATTCATGCATGGTGGCCGGAAAAAGGACTCTAGAGTGGGGATCCTGACAGTTCTATTTGACGATTCATTTGACACATTTGAATTTGATTTGAAATTTTGTGGAATTGTCAGTCTTTACGGAGCTTATTTTATGTTATTTATTATTTATTCTACTACTGATAGTTGTATAAAGGTAGTAAATCTAGATGGAAATTGTGGCAGAACTTAAATTAACAGTGACACTCCTGTGATTTATCGAAAAAGACTCTAAAATAGTTGGTTGTGTAGCGTGCGGTAGATCTCGGTCAAAAATCGAGTGAAATAATGGAACAGCTTTTCGCTAGTAAGTGACTATATAATATACATACGTGTAGTAAACCAATCATTTATGAAATTCACTTAAATTAACTAATTATATATTGTTTCTTGCATTTTTGCTTTTATTTACTACTTGTCAAAGATTAGATGTCAAAGAATTTAGGGTGTATTCCGTTGTTTACCTTGGTTATGGTTTTATGTTCCGTTTCTATCGGTTTCCTGAAAGTTTTCTTATTACAGAACACGGTTCCTGAAAAATTCGGTTTTGACTGTCTCCAAACTAACCAGCGCGAGAAGCCTGGTTTTTCTGGTTTTGTTTGTCAATCAATACCTTTTTTCGTTTTCCTGTTATTACCGATTCTGAACCGTCCTAGAATTGTGATGCGTATGCGCAGAAGGAAATATGAAGACATTATTTCATTTGCGCATGCGCTGGAGAGTTCTAGGACGATTCAGAATCGATAATAACAGGAAAACGAACAGACCTAATGTCATTTATGTGACAGAAAACAAGCAAATATTGGAAGTTCCAGTAAAATTCTCATTTAATTTCTAAAATTTGTTATAATATTTTTTATTTACATCCAAAAGCAATGGAGGCAGGCAGTAAAGGTAAATAAATTTCATTAACTAAATAGAATTACTTTTTAGGACCGTTTAGTAAACTTATCATGCAGCCATTGTTTCTTAAAGTCAGGAACATTTAAAGAAAACCTGAAAAACAAGACAAGTAACCGTGAATGTTTTGTAAGCTATAAAAATATAAATATTGATTAGATTTGTTTATTTATTATTGATCTGTTTTAATATTGGACCTGCAAATCTTCACTTGAGCTATCTAACGAGTTTAACAGTGTATTAATAAAGTACTTTTCAATATTAAACTCCATTGCAAAGAAGAAGCAAACGTAAAAGCAGAGAATAGGTACATTAAAAATGCATAAAAGATAAAATTTTATAATAAAGGTATTGAAATTTAGAAAACGTCAACATTTGACATTTCCAGTATTTTACCAAACCGTTCCGTATCAAACCGATGTTTTTCAGGAACCGCTCTTTACCGTAGTTTACTGGTCTGGTTCGCCTGGTTTTGCAACGGAATACAGCCTTAGATACCTCAATTTGACTTACCTGCTTCAGTAGCGTATCTGATGTAGTTAATAAATAATTATTATAAGCTATCTATTTTTATTAGAATTTTATATTTTTATAACAATTTTAATAACTACCAACATTTATTAACAACGTAAAATAAACAAATTATTGTGTCTACCCCACGTCTACCCTACATCATAGTTTTACATTTTTTAGATAAAATTAGAACGGCACTGATAACCCGGAATTTAAGTCGGCCATATTTGAGTCCTATAGCGGTGGACCTAAGATTTTTGATATGCTCTTTCCTTAATCTTTTTATTCAAAAATAAAAATACTCGGCTGATGAAATGTCGGCTGTGGGATTCAAACCCACAATCTTTGAATTGGTAGACGAGAGCTGTACCTCTACGCCTCCGGGCACCTTTTAATAATAAATAAATCATATAAAAATAAATTAATATTATAGGGTGTTGATACTTCTATGTCATTTAGTATAGTTTAAGAGATCTATTTTAAGTATTCTCCTTTATATTTAAAAAACATAACCCGTTAGTAATTCCATTTTTTTGCTTGGATATTTATTTTAAACCTTTTAAGATATTAAAAAAAATTTTGTGAAACATTTAGAATTACTTATTATATTATTAAAAATATTACAAACCTTCTTTATCCTCTAATCGAACTCCAACATTTGGAAGAGTTTCATCCCTTATTCTATCACATTCATTTAATATATCAGTGGCTTTCAAATTTCGAGCATCCGTTCTTACTTTATCTCTAAAATCTGCCAAAATACTTAAGTACGGCATAATAGTTTGTTCTGAATCGCCCGATGTAGTACTTGACGAAGTAAAGCCTAAAAACGTAATGTTTAACTTCGTTCGCCTTAAGATAGATTCACAAATTTACCTAATTTTGCAGTTTCATAGGTAGTACCAAACACACTTAAAATTTTTGTTATATAAACGCCAATATCGTATAACAGCACTTTATTTGGCGGTTTTCGATCTTTTAAGTATATGTTGACAGCGCCGACTAAATCCCTTAATGCGTCTAAAGCTGTTTTTGTGTCGATATTATCGCAGAGAGCTCGGTGGACATTTTCCTTGGTTTCTAAGTATTTTTTGTTAAGACTCAATTCCCATTCTGACCATTTAGAAAATGTATCAAAGGATGTTTTAACTTGACTCAAACCCCTTGTAACATCTTTAACATTAAGGAAGAATTCCTAAAATGACACTATTTTTACCTAACTGCGGATTATTTTAGTATAAATCTTACGTTAAACTGTTTTTCATTCTGCACAGCACATTCCATGGTATTCTGACTGTAGTCCAGTGTATCCCTCCATGAATGTAGTAGAAAAGCAAATCTCAACTGACGAGCGGTGTATTTTGACAGAGCATCTTGAATGCTAACGAAGTTCTTTAACGATTTTGACATTTTGCAGCCAGAAATAGTTAGATGGCCTGAATGAAGAAAATATTTTACCCAGTCGGAATTTCCGAAATGAGCCTGAAATGAAAATAATATTATTACTAGTTAGTAAGAGTCAATTGAGTCAGATCAGAACTGAAGTTCAGTCAGTTCAGAACTGTTCCGCGCCATATGAAGGCACTAGGCTATTGTGCACAGCTCCTTTCAGAACCGTTCTCGAGTAGCCCAGGGCGTAAAGCACTGGAACTTGAAGTTCGCGAATGGAGGACAGCAACTACCGCTTTCCCGTTCAAAATATTGTAATAAAGTTGCGATGCGTTTTTACGGCTATTAAACGATCTTGTACACTTCGCACTAAAAGAAGTTCCAAAAAGAATCATGTTCCACTGCAATTACTGTCCTCCATTCACGCAGTTGTACAGCTCTGAACTGTTCAAGAACGCGATACTCTCACTCCATTCAATTGATTCATAAAGTTCAGAACTGTTCGTCGCCATATGGAGGCACCAGGCTATCGCGCACAGCTCCTTTCAGAAACTCTTCTCGAGTAGCCCAGGGCGTACAGCTCTGGAACTTGAAATTCGCGAATGGAGGACAGCAAATTAGTGTCTTCCTTTCACGCAGTTGTACAGCTCTGAACTGTTCAAGAACGCGATACTCTCACTCCATTCAATTGATTCATAAAGTTCAGAACTGTTCGTCGCCATATGGAGGCACCAGGCTATCGCGCACAGCTCCTTTCAGAAACTCTTCTCGAGTAGCCCAGGGCGTACAGCTCTGAAACTTGAAATTCGCGAATAGAGGACAGCAAAGTAGTGTCTTCCTTTCACGCAGTTTTACAGCTCTGAACTGTTCAAGAACGCGATACTCTCACTCCATTCAATTGAGTCATAAAGTTCAGAACTGTTCCGCGCCATATGGAGGCGCCATGCTATCGCGCACAGCTCCGTTCAGAACCGTTCTCGAGTAGCCGAGGGCGTAAAGCTCTGGAACTTGAAATTCGCGAATGGAGGACAGCAAATGTGTGCTAGTAAACATTTTTAAGCTTAAAGTATCACAACACTATTTATTTAAACCAGAAACTCGAGTATCAAAACGAATGACAATGTCAGGAAATAAATAAATAAATGTAGCAACTTGACATTTTTTCACCCCCCGAATCCCCAGCGCGAAATGTAAATTCCAGTTAGTTAGCCCTGCGCCGAATATGTCTATGGTTGGCAACAATGAATTTAAAAATCGCATCCTTACGTAACTAAAAGTTTAATCGATATCAAATATAGCTAATAATACAGTATAGTTGGCCTAAATTAGGTTGCCTAAATAGTTATACAAAAAAAAAGAAACGAGGTAACATATGTATATAAAGGTGAGTTTTGTTAATGTAAATAATAACTGTTTGTAAATTTATAATTAGTTCATTTTTGTTTCCTAAAATATTTGATTACAAGAAAATAAGTAAGTCGGGAACGGTATGCCAATCAAAGTTAATCACGTGACTAAAAGTTTATTTGGTATGAACTGTATATCTACAGTAATTGCCAAAAATTTCTAGGTCGTTCTCTTTTTATATTCCTTTGTTTCAGCCTTTTAAAGTTTTCTATTAATTTTTAAATGGTACCCTCATATCATCGAAAGAATATGCGCTCTGCGCAGGCAGCTTACTGCTTGGCGTTACGAGTACAAGCGACGGCGAAACACCAAAATTTCGCTCGAGCAATCGCTCGATTATTGAAATCGCTTGAAACTCGAGTACTCGATTATTAAAATTCATCGGTTTTTCCCATCACTATAAAAAAGTTATAAAGTTAAAATGCATCTAGGGAAAATGCTGAAGAAATTCCGTAGTTTCTTTCAATAACTCAATAATAAAAAATGTTCCTATTTGTTGCCAACGTTTTTGCACACAGTAAAAAATGACAAATTTGACAGACTGTTTTCTCAGATTAGAAAAAGTTACATGAAAATGTTATACTAGTAAAAAAAATACAACTACAAAATATCAATATATCCTCACCTCACTTTGTGCTATTTCATTATCATGATGAGGAAATTTGAGATCTACTCCCCCTGTATGTATGTCTAAATAGGGACCGCATATAGTTGAAGCCATCGCTGAACATTCAATATGCCAGCCGGGTCGTCCCAAGCTCCATGGCGATTGCCAAGAGGGTTCTCCGGGTTTGCTTTTTTTCCACAAAGCGAAATCATTAGGCGATCGCTTTTCGCTGCGCATATCAGCAGTCATTAGATCACCTGAAACAGACATATCAGTCAAAATGTATACAAGATGTCAAAAAAATTAACATAAAAAAGAAACTATTTTCCTTATTTATAATTTTACGGTCGAGATTAGATTTAGATACTTTACAGGGTATCCCAATATTCTGTGGACATAGAATTACTACGTATTTTTGGAATCAAAATTAGTTCATTGGACACAATTTACCTCTATACAAAAGTGCTTCGTTTGTCCGTTAGAGGGCATCAAACTTTAAAAAAATAAACATATTTTTTCACATATTTTCAAAACCGTTATTCCGATTTGAATGAGATTTTGGGTGTCTATGTTTTGTTAAGTGCTCTAACATTTGACTTTCACAAAAATAAAATACGGGAAGGGTGAAAACTACCCTCACCCCTACATAAATTTTAGTATAAATATTTTCCAACTCTACCGTCGTAAATCTTCTTTTCGTAAAATGGTCCCTCTAGTATTTACTCCATTTCTTGTCTCTTGTAAAAAAAACGCCACCGTGCATAGTTTTTGAGAGAAAATATATTTTTCCAAAGCTGACTTCCAAAAAATGTTTTTGTCACATCAAGCCATGGAGGCGCATAAAATCTATTATGCTCTAATAATCTAGTTGGCAAAAATATGAAATTTTATGTTAGTATCACAAATTACATTTGACAATAAGCTTCATAAAAAGCTTAAAAAATAATATTTTTTAAATTAATAAACATTAGTGTTTATTTTTGATTTTTGAATGAACTGTATAAAGGTAAATTATGTGCAATTAACTTATTTTGATTCAAAAAATAGGTAGTTGTCCTATGGTCACGGAATATTGGAACTTCCTGTATACCGGGTGCGTCTCAAAAGTGGCTCACCCCTATAACTTTTTTATTTTTTTCAGATAAAAAAACGAGATTTGGTACGTTAGTATATGACATAAACTGGGATTGATTGACATATTCAATTGATTTCTGTCACTTCCGGTTTCACCGGAAATGACTACAACTTTTGATGTTTAAATGGCACCCTTGGTATTTTTTTACTTTATTCGATTGAAAATGACACTCTGAATCGAATGACATATCATATGTATCAACTTTCGACATATTCGCTCAAAAACAAATTTTATTTTAAATTTCAATCTAGAGTGCCATGGCTGTGTTAAAAACACTAATTTTTAATCAAGGAGCCTTGGAAAAATAGAATTAATCATCTAATGTTTTTAGTGTCTTCTCCTGGCCGGTTAAAAGATGCCTAAATCGTATTTTTAATCATATCTCAATTTTTTCAAATGGAACAAGGGTGGCTCATTAGCATATTTTGAAAAAGCATTTTTTTATGAATAACTTGATACCACACACTTGATATTTCGAGTCAAATTGTCGTTATGAAACGCATGTTACAATTTCAAATAAACCATATGCGAAAATGTCAAAAGTTGACATATGATGTGTGTGTATGATTCAGAGTGTCATTTTCTATCAAATAAAGTAAAAAAATACAGAGGGTGTCATTTAAAAATCAAAAGTAGTAGTCATTTCCCGTAAAACCGGAAGTGACAGAAATCAATTGAATACGTCAATCAATCCCAATTTATGTCATATTCTAACATACCAAATCTCGTTGTTTTATCTAAAAAAATAAAAAAGAGACGCACCCGGTATTTTGAATAGGAGATACGCGCGCCATACCTAAATCCGTCCTTTATGATTATCGCATGTGGGCATGCACATGCCGAGACATCCTAAAACGGCGGAAAGTAACGCCTAGCGATAGTATTTCTGCAAGATCACCTGTGGCTCCGTGTTCAAATCTCACACAGTACCAAAACTTCTTTATATTTTTCTTTATAAAAAAAATATAAATAAACACTTATAGCGTGATTTGATTGCATTGGTTTCACTTTTCACTCTTTTTGGTTGGATTGGTTCAGTTGGCGGGTTGGTTAGCGTGGTTAATTGGAGGGTGTTAATTCATTGGTTATTTGGTGGTGTTGGTTGGTTTTTACCTAAGGTTTTTACTAATTTATATTTGTTTTTTTTCAGATATTCATTGATTTTCTTTATTATTTGTTTGTCATTTGTAAGTTTGTATCATTGCATGTGCGCACAAGGCAATAATCATAAATGACAGAAATTAGTATGGCGCGCGTATCTTCTTGTATATTTTTGTAGGTGTGCTTTGGAAAAATAAATTCGTTGTAGGTCTGCTTTGGAAAAATAAATTCTCCAAAAAAAATTTTCACAAAAACCATGCAGTGTAGCGTTTTTTTACAAGAGACAAAAAATATAGTAAATACTAGAAAGACTATTTTACGAAAAGAAAACCTGCCGTCATTGGAGATGAAAAATATTTATACTAAAATGTATGTATGGGTCGGAGTATGTAGTTCTCACCCTTCCCGTAATTTTTCTTGATTTTTGTGAAAGGCAAATGTTAAAGCACTTAGCAAAATATAGACACTCACAATCCTATTCAAATCAGAATAACGGTTCTTAAAATATCTGAAAAAATGTGTTTATTTTTCGATTAAGTTTGATGCCCTCTAAAAGACAAACGGGGCACTATTGTATAGAGGTAAATTGTGTCCAATGAACTTATTTTGATTCCAAAAATACGTAGTAGTTCTATGTCCACAGAATATTGAGACACCCCATATATATGATTTTTACATAATCGCTGAAAACATGTTTACATAAAAAAATTTAAAACTCTACATGTACGCGCGCCAACGTTAAAATTAACAAAAAAAAAACTAATATATATTAAAAAAAAGAATATTGCAATTTGCAGCAGTATTATTATTTAAATATGTAAATAAGATTTTTTTTTAATTGTCTCGATATAAAAATGGATATCCCATTCAACAATAATTCTCAATAATTATAGAGAGATAATTTTTACAAATTTGTGCTACCTTTAGCACTGAAAGCGAATAAAATGCATTCTTCAGCAAGTAGTTTTTTACAAAATTCTTAGTATTAGCTTTGGTACTAGTCGTAAAGTAGCGGTAAAATATTAAGTCCCGCATGGCAAGAAAGCACTAGTCGGATTTAGATACTCTGCGCTGTGTTTGACATTTTGTGGAATCAACCCAAACTCACCTGACGATGGAGTAGGGCTCCGAAACCGGTAGCGAGAGCAGGTTGTTCCCCATTATGACAAACACAATGTGGAATTAATTTCTATATAGCAGTTCAAGGCAAGAAACTCTTATATAATTTTATAAGACTTATGACGATTTCGACTGGACTGCACTGGTTCTATTCGAATGCTCTCAGGGCGAGCAACTGCTCAAAGAGTTGCACTTGCACAGTGCTGGAGCGAACTGTACAGAACCATGTATGACGGTTCAACGACATGTATGACGGTTCCAAAATTATTGCACTGAGTGCTAGGTTACGAAGCTGCTCTGATGCAGCCGAACGAAAAAACAATACGCACCGGGTCAGTGCGACGCAAGTTTATGACACAATTTTACATTGCTCTTGCTTTGCTCTTACCAGTCAAAATTGTAATTCTGTTCGAGTTCGCATTGAGTGCGGCTTAGTGCAGCCAGCCGAAATCGCCATTATATTGTGTTATATAATTATGTGAGTTGATATGTTGCTAAAATAAATCCTTAAGGCCGCTCTGCAGTTCACAATTTTACTTGCCGCAATATATAACCTATTTCTTAAGAAATGATATAACCACTTTATGCCTTATGCATTAAATTCTAGGCGGTTCTTCTAGGTGAAGCAATTAGCAATCTGAAGATAACTAGAAAAATAACCAAAAGCTGCACACAAATTATATAGTCTAAGAGCTAGCAACGTTTTCGAGAAAGAATTTTAACACGTCTGGCTCTTTGATATATCTTTTACTATGCTCTCTGGAACAACATGCGGCCCGTCTGGCTGCCGATACCCGTTGCGTTCACTACTGCGCATCGGAAGAAGATCCTATATGTTTTTTTTAATTTAGTCCTATAAATTCTAGTATTGAAAATAAATCGAACTTAATTGTCTATATAGCGCAGTGCGTAGAGTTTCCGACCACGAACCGATGATTCAGAGTTCGAATCCGGGTCAGGTCAAAGACTTTTTTATTTTATTTTCGTTTATATTCTGATAGTAAAGTATTAAATAATTCTGGTGATTCAAAAAAAACAAATATTTAATACTTTACTATCAGAATATAAACAAAAATAAAATAAAAAAGTCTTTGTCTTGACCCGGATTCGAACTCTGAATCCTCGGTTCGTGGTCGGAAACTCTATGCACTGCGCTATGGAGGCATGTTTGATTTATACTCAATACTAGAATTTAAAGGACTAAAAATATAAGATCTTCTTTCAATGCGCAGTAGGTAACGCAACATCTACCGGCAGCCAGACAGGCCGCATGCGGCCGCTAGAGACATAGTAAAAGATATATCAAAGAGCCAGACGTCTTAAAATACTTGTTTTTCCGATGTTGCTAGCTCTCGTACTAATAGGTCCAGATCTATCAAGATCTTTAGATCTAGCAAGTCCAAGAAAAGTTGCGGTAACTTATCACATATGCTAGAATGTGTGTCATCAATGTGTCGTGCATCGTAGGAAAAGTTACTGCAAGTTTCCTTGCATGCAAGTAAAATTGTGAACTGTAAAGCGGCCTTTATTATTTTACTGAAATATATTTTCACCCGAAGTATAAACCCGACGGTTATATTATATAAAAAAGGTCTTTATTTACAAAAAATATTAGCAAACAAGAATTTAACTTTTTCAAAGATTCAGATAAGGGATTTTTCGTTGTGACAAAATTCACTGTCAGAATTCATTGTCAGAAACAATTAGATAGACTATAGAATTTTAATTTCCTCTTTTTGAGTTGTAAATCTGCTTTCATCAAATTGTACTTAACAAACAGCAACATATTATTTATACCATAAGTATAAATATTAATACCATAAGATCATAAAGTTGTTTTAAATAAGCAAGTTTTGATTTTCACAGTTATAAAAATTCTAAACATATGATTATTAAATAAAAAAACTAAAATAACTGATTCTTTTTGAAAACTAGCAAGCATATTTGTTTTAAGACTCGACCAAACTTAGTTTTATCCAGTTTATTTATTAATTTTGAAACATCTTGATTCACCACATACACACATACATAACAACACACTTTAAAAATAGGTACTTTTTTCTACTAAAGTGAATGAGATTAAATAATTATTTTAATGTTTATATTTATTACCCTCTCCTTCCTGTAAACTGTAAAAATCACCATAAGCCTCAGGTACCAACTTAGCATAATGGTGCTTATCTTTTTTATCAAATGAGGCAACATCAAAATATACAGAACCATTGGCCTCATATCCAAAACCATTTGCTATAATTCCTTCAATAAATTGAAGGATTTCAGGAATGTGTTCACTGACTCTGGTAAGTACATTAGGTCTTAAAACCTATAAAAATTTGTTTATAGTTTAATTAAGCATTTAAAAAATTTACAAGTACTCTTATTATATTTCATTTTTGCCTAGTCATTGTACTTCACATCCAATCTCAAAAATATGATGAAATTATGAAGAAACTATTGTTTTTTACAATATCAAACATAGTTTACAAATAACTTACATTTAATGAATCCATATCTTTATGAAATTCATCTTCCCAATATTTTGGTAGTGAGGAAAAAATTGCATTATCTGTAACTGTAGCACCTAACTTTGAATCTAACCAATCTGATAAAGGATCTTTGCTTTCAATAATAAACCTCTGTTGAGCTTCTTCTATAGATTTTGATTTTCCACTTCTAATTGCATTTTCTAAATTTTCTATTGATTCATTTAATCTAAAAAAAAATTATCAGATCAATGCAATACTTGAAAGAAGTTTTTTAAATAAAAAGATAATCTTTATATGTTACCTTGTTAAAATCTTGTCATACATTGGCTTTTTATCAGGATCTCCATTTTCTTTTGCTTTTTTAGTCAAGTTACTCAGAACTGAAGATGCATCAGCGACTATTATCTTTAGATCTTTTTTCTCTGAAGCATACTTTTCAAACAAATAATTCTGGCGTGCTCTTTTAATAATTTTATCATCAATATCTGTTATATTCATAACATATAAAATATCATAATTAAAATAATCGGTGAGAACACGTCTCAAGATGTCAAAAGTAATATACGATCTAAAACAAAGACACGAATAGGACCTACTAACTTGAATTATATAAAAACAATTACGAGAAACCTACCTTGCGTGTCCCATATGGGATGCATCATACACGGTAGGGCCACAACTATACCAATGAACCCTTTTACCCGATATCGGCGTAAAAACTTCTTTTTGTCTTGTTAAACTATTATATAGCTTTAAAACGGGCTGTTTTTCTTGAGAAGGTGGCGACCAAAGAGGTTGTGTTCTTTTAGACATATTGTCAATTTGTTTGAATATTTAGAAAATGAATCTGACTTAATCCAAAATATATATTCTCAAAACGTGTTATAAATTATTATTACATCAGCTTTATAAGTTCTGTTAACATTTCTCCACTATTGTTAACGATCTTACAACGAAATAAAAACTAACCTCACTCTTTGCAGAAATGACAGTTGATGACAGTGACAGGTTAAAAGTTTCTATGGCTATGGAGTGTAGAGATAGGTTTCAATATCGAAACCATAATCACATTATATATGCACATTCATATATAAATTATAAGATAGATTATTATGGATAGGGCAGACATGGGGTTTGGACCAAGGTCTAGACATGGTCTGGACTTTGGGCAATGCTCTGGGGCAATGGGTTTGGAAGTGGTCAGAGGATGTAGTTAATGAAGACCAGAGATATAGACCTCGTAATATTAAATTAACTACCAAGTAATATGTAACATGTACCTATTCTCTGCATGTAACTTATACCGAACCCTGGATAATGATGTATGTAGAAAGAAACGACGAATGTGCGCAGAAATACAGTCGCTATGTTTGCGCGGCTAAAATGTTTCTTACAAATTTCAAATTTTTTATTATATTCAATTATATTTCATTGTTTGAAAGGTTTGAAAGTTTACAAATCTGAGTTTCTGAAGTTTAAATCATAGATTGAAATAAGCGCCCTTTAAAAGATATCTTCCTGAGTCCATAAAAAACAAATGCAAAATTCGCTGGTCATAACATTCCTGAAAAATCAATGAAAAATACAAACTAACAAATTTGAAGAAATTTTTGCCTCCACCAGCAAAAAACAAAAAGGGTTGCAAGACTTGCAAGGGCTGTGTTTTCTAGAGATTTAATAGCAAGATTAAGATTATTATTTATTAAAATGTAAATAAATATATCATATAATTGGTAATATTCTTAAATAGAAAAAGCATACATAGTATGCAAAATAATATAATTTAGACTATCTTGTCCCATCTCCATACAGTACCATCGTCACAAACATACAATAGTATATTTGCATTTCGACTTAAGGCTGTCTGTCTTATGGCAGTTACACATCGTGGATGCTGTAATGTGTAACATTTAGCTTGAGCTGGATCTGATACATCCAAATCCCATACAAACACTTTACCCGTTTGATTACCCAAAGCTAAAATCTATATTAATTATAAGAAGACTCAGATTATCAATCAAATATTAATGTACAAACCTTTTGCCAAAAATCCATGGCAAATCTCACAAACCAAATTTCACATTCTTTATACTCAAATTTATGTATTATAGTTGATGTGGTTTCGCCCTTTCTTAGATGGTCATCTTCTAATCTACCAGGTTTCCAGCAAATGATACAATTTTCACAAGATTTACTCAATAGAAAATCACCAAACCATTTTACACAATCGACATAATTCCTTCATAGATAAATAAGGTGTAGGTAAAAATTGCTTTAATATAATTTATAGTGTATTACCTATGAATATCTCGCGTAGAGAAATCAGGAAAGTGCTCTTTAAGGGTATCAAATGGCCTGGAACTTCTACTGGAGTTCCAGTTATAGGACTGCCTTATGGCTTCTTTCATATAGTCTTTGTCCATCCTCCATAACTTCAAGGAGTGATCCATTCCACACGACATAACTCTACAGCCCAATAAATCAAAATCCTAAAAAAAATAGTCATAATAATAATATAACCAGTTCAAAAAGTAATGTAGATTACAGCACTTAAAACTTCATCTCTGTGTCCTTCGACACCACCAAATATTGCAATACAGACATCACTTCTTGTATTCCATAATCTGAAATTAAATAGAATGTTGAGAAAAACACAACTATAGAATATTGGAAGAGTCGCACCGTAATGAATGATCCTTTGATACAGACAGTAGTAAATTTGGATCCCTAGGATGAAATTTTAATTCATTGATAGCATGACCATGTCCAATATAATGTCTCAGGGAACTCATTGTTGTGGGATTTAATATTCTTATTACACCTATGAAAATGATAAAAAAATAGGATATCTTATCAAATTACATCCTATAAGATATACCTTACCTCTTGAGCCAGCAACAGCTAGTAGTGGTTTACCTAAATCTTCTTCATAAGACCAAGCACAAGTATAAAAATTTTCATCTAGCTAAATAAGAACATTATTTGATTTACTAATTATATCAATACAATTAAATATATCATCTTACATCTGGATCAGCATAACACTGTAATAATTTGATCCCACCATCTGGGCATTCGTAAATAGTAACTCTGTTACTACCGACAGCCGCAAATATCATCGGTTGATCCTCCCTTAAATGATGGTTAAACTGGACACCAAACAAAGGCTGTCCATGGTCTTCTTTAATGCTACATCTGAAATGTGTCTTTATACATTTCATATTATCTGAAATCTTCAATATCTTACACGTATTTATAAATTGGTTTCAAAACCTTCGGTGTGTTACTACTGAACCTTTTTTTAGTAGTTCGTCCTTTACGCGTTTTATTGGTTGGTGTTGCACTTCTGGAAGTATTATCTGTAGTAGAGGTACTGCCTATACTTGAAGTCTCGTCCTAAAATGACTATTTTATAGTACCACTTCAAATTACAAACTTAAATTCAGTACCGCTTCATCACCTGAACCCTCGGTCATATTAGAGTCATTTTTGCTCTTTTCTTTTACCTCTTGTTGCTTCATTGTTTTTAATTTTTTTGTAGTAATTTAACACAATTTACGATTTCTTAAGATTAGAAATCGTTCCTGCCATCATATAATTTAAAACGATTTCTAATAAGAAATCATAAGTAAAATTGAACATAAATATTACTTATTTCTGTTATCCATCTATTAAATTGTACAAAATTGAGCGGTATTGAGGAAAAATTTGGAATTTATAAGAGTAAAATAAAAACATATAACCGACACGAAAAGAATTTAAAACACATTTGACCACACATTTGACATTTTGACATATTTAAAAGTTGACACTTCCATAGAATAAAACCATATATGCCGTGATAAAACATAAAACCACTAAACTACAAAACTAGAAGTATATGACGTAGTTCAGTGTTCAGTTTGTATATGATTATATGATGTGTTCCAAGATGGTTCTTCCAAGTAGTTCCATTTTTTTATCTTGATTCTCAATTTTCTTCCCGTTAAAGTCTAAGTCTTTTTCTATCTTCTATGGTTATGTTGTTGTTCTGCGATTCTGCGGGTAGAGAGGTAGAGAGCATGTAAAGGTTGTTTGGGGTTGCCATGGGGTTGTCTTTGGGGTTGTTCACGGGTTGTTGTTCAGCAAATACATTTAAAATAGGTATATTCTGGTATGTTGTCAATTTTGTTATGTTGTATGTTGTTCAAGTGTTGTTTTTTTGTTTTAGTTTGTAATGTTTGTACCTATATGACATGGTGTTCAGAGTTAAGTTGTCTCTGGACTCTGGAGTTTAGGACGTTAAGGAGTTAAATTTGGTATAGTTAGATTTGTGTAGTCTCCTCTGGAAGTACATGTAAAGTAATATAAAAGCACCTACTTTTATTTCATTTATTTGTGAGAAGACGGGTCTTGCTTGCTTGATCTAAATTATTTATTAACTTTGTACACAGTAACTTTGAAAAAGGTGAGATGTTATTTAGATTGATGTTGAATAAATCTATAGATCTACCCCTACCATTTAATAAATTCTATGAGCCATGAGCCTTAATGGATCCTTAATACTATTCAAAGAGCTCTTTTTTTAAGTGTAGAGGTCTAATAATTTTTTATTTTAGTAGTGGTCTTTCTGAATTTAGATATTCCTTGATAATTTTATCAATTATTGAGGTAATTTTAAATTTTTCATTATAGATGTATTGATTTCTAAATATTTTGGTTTGCATAGAAAAATGCCATGCTGTTCTGCAATCAACTGCTCCAACAGGACAGAAAAAGGATATCGTTTATACCGTTTTCCAAGGAATGATAAAAATCGTGCCAAGTGGGTCCACAACATGAGACGTGGGGGAAACTGGCAACCCAGTGAAGCAGCTCGTTTATGTGAAGTAAGTACACAAATTTCTAAAATTAGTTTGAATATTTATCTAGGTATATGAAACTAATATTACTTTTTATTTATAAACCGGTCTACAATTAATATTTGTTTTAAGAATGTTAATTTTCAGAAACATTTTGAAAAGACTCAGTTTGAAAATAAACGTGCTGATGGAAAAGTGAAACTGAGACCAAATGCAGTACCCACTATATTTAACCTTCCGAATCCACCTCTGAATACAGAGTGTCTTAAAAGGAGACATTATAAGGTATGCACCAGTTCTATTTACAAGTAATCTAATATCAGCAGACACTTGTTCTCTTAAAACTTTATATATTTTTATATAATATAAACAAGGGTAATATGTATATACAGGGTTGTTCACCACATACGACACGGAAGATTGTAGCTAAACGATTAGATTTTTACAAATTGTAAGTTTTGGGTTTGTTGAAGGACTTTTAGAGCTACAATTTAAAAATATTTTTACATGTTACAGAGTGTCCCAAATAAATAAAAAATATCAAAGTTTTATTTTTTTAAATGGAACACCCTGTATATTATTACATTTTTAGTTTCTACGATTAAAATAAAGGTAAATATGATTAAGGTTTATTACACTTAAACCTTACCGTTTTTGAAATATTTTCAATTTTGTGAAATTGCAGTATAAATTTTAAGGCTTCATTTCTCCGAGGGTATCAAAGTTTATCATATCTCATATAATGGAGCTAAGTTGTACAACGAACTCCCAGATTCTTTAACGTTGAATTTAAATATGCTAACATTCAAAGTACAACTCAAAAAATATATTTTTCAAGGACAAGGGGTAGGAAAATAAAAGTAGACTTGCTCTGACAGGATTCGTAGACTGATTAGTTTTTTTTTATTTGTATATAGAATTTATGTTCTAAACTTGTACACTTGTAAACTTGTAAATTGCGTACTTGTAAACTTTATTGTGTATGTATTCTAAGGTTAAGTAAAATAACACAAGTATCTTTTATCATGTTGTGTAACTTTATCTTAAAAAAAAATTATCTATAATTATATTTGATTGATCTGTGATATAGATGTAATGAAAGGATGAGCCTGTATGAATATTTTTTCTGTATTCCTAGGTTTTGTTCAATAAAGTGCTATAACTCAGTAATAAAAAAAAAAAAAAAAAGTTTTTAATACTAAATATTTACTGAAGTTTATTTATTGATCAGTTATTGTGTTGCTGTAATAAAAATTTTACTACCTTATACAGAGTGTCTAAATATTTATTTTAAATAATTATTAGCTTTAAACCGCAATAACTTGTTTAATTTAAATGGAACATCCTGTATATTTTAAGAGAATCAGATGCACAATTTAATTGTCTATCAAATTGTATTATACCATTTTTTACCTATCTCTTCAATCTTCCGTAGAAAATGCATTTTCTTGTAATTTAGAACTCATTTATCAATATACCCATGGAATACTGACATTTTAGATTATTTTTAAAGATGTACCAAATTTTTAAAGAGCACAGATACTAATATTGTCAATATAGTTCGTTTATTTCATTAAAAAATAAAAAAAAAACTATTTAAATATTTGTTAAAGAGGTCCAATTAATATGATTACAGTATTCAAACTACATTAATTGACTGTTTGCGTTGATTAATAATAATTGCTCCAAATACTAAAAAACTGAATTATTTATGTGTATTAGACAGTGTGCTAAAATGTAACACCTTAAAAATGATATTTGATTTTTTGACAAATGCTTATTTATAACAACAGAGACGTTCATTTTCATAACTTATTATTATATTGATTGCTGATTCAAATCCACATTTATTTAGAATAATTTATTAACGAACACAATTAAGTATGTAACTAATTAGTATTTGGGCGGAAATACCGGTGGTATATTTAATTAATGGTAGACTCTTTTATAAAGATTTAAATAGTTTTCTTTTTGCATACAAATGGGCTAGTAATATAATCGTTTTACTAAAAACGATAATATTACTAGCCTGTACATTTGTTGTTTTAAAAACAATCTAAAATGTCAATATTCCACGGGTATATTGATAAATGAGGTCTAAATTATAAGAAAATGCATTTTCTACGAAAACTTGAAGGGATAGGTAAAAAGTGATATAATACAATTTGATAAACAATTAAATTGTGCATCTGATTCTCTTAAAATATACAGGGTATTCCATTTAAATTAAACAAATTATTGCCGTTTAAAGCTAGTAATTATTAAAAATAAATTTTTAGACACTCTGTATAAGGTAGTATAATTTTTATTATTGCAACACAATAACTGGTCAATAAATAAACTTCAGTAAATATTTAGTATTAAAAACTTCGGAGAAATGAAGCCTTAAAATTTATACTGCAATTTTACAAAATTGAAAATATTTCAAGAACGGTAATGTTTAAGTGTAATAAACCTTAATCAAATTTACATTTATTTTAATAGTAGAAAGTAAAAATTCAATAATATACAGGGTTTTCCATTTAAAAAAATACAACTTTGATATTTTTTATTTATTTGGGACACGCTGTATCTTGTAAAAATATTTTGAAATTGTAGCTCTAATAGTCCTTCAACGAACCCAATACTTACAATTTGTAAAAATCTAATCGTTTAGCTACAATACTCCGTGTCGTATGTGGTGAACAACCCTGTATAATTAGGAAAACTGGAAATCGTCAGATTTACACCAAAATTGGTATACACCCTATTTTGAGGTCGTAGATTACGACTCTGAACCTTTTTCTTGGCGGTCTCTTACCGTTTTTCAGAAAAACGGAAAATTATTTCAACATCGAATTTTTCTTAATTTCTCTTATTTTCAAGGTTTTCTAGCACATATTTTGTTAGGTATTCAATAAACAATGATGTTATTGCTATTTTCTGTTACTTTTTTAACCGATTCTATGCATAATAGAGGAAAATTTGCTAAAATAAATTTGTAAACAATCTGAAAATGTTTGGTTATGTGTTTCTTAAGGTTACCAGACGTCCGGCTAAAGCCGGACATGTCCTCCTTTTTTGGCAATTTGTTAATGTCCGGCCGGCTTTTCTTTATGTCCGGCTTTTTTCCATTTTACGAAAAATTGTTAATTTCGATTTTTATAATACTAAAAAGTGCAAAGTGCAACCGGCGAACCGGCACCGGTCAACCATAAAAATCAAACCAAGACCGGTTCATTAGTGTATAAGATAAAAAAGCAAATAATTTTATTGAAATTTTAGCCATAAAATAATAAATACAAGAAGAAGTGTGATTTTAGCTTTGTTCGGGTTCTTGTTATTACCGATTCTGAACCGTCCTAGAACTCTGCAGCGCATGCGCAAATGAAATAATGTCTTCATATTTCCTTCTGCGCATATGCATCACAGTTCTAGGACGGTTCAGAATCGGTAATAACAAGAACCCGAACAAAGCTTTTATAAGCGTGTGTAAATGCTTAATAAGTAAAGAAATGTCCGGCTTTTTTATATCAAAAATCAGGTTTTTTTGTACAATTGTCCTACTTTTATACACTGTCCATCTGGCAACCCTAGTGTTTCTGGCATTTAAAGCAACGTTGCCCATGCTAAACCTAAATTTAGGGTGTTTTTTTCGGTCATTCTGGGATTACGAAAGGCGGTCGCCAGAAGAACGGCTCCTTCTCATAACTGCTTTTACCAACTATGTAGATCTGACTATTTATAACCATAAAATAATAAATACAAGAAGAAGTGTCAAGTCAATGTTAAATTATGGAAACAGCGTGGCTGCCTGGGTAACTAATTTTCAGATATGGCGGCTGGGACATTTGACATGACATAGACAATGACATAGACATGACAATTTCAATTTTATGAAATTTATTTCCGTTTCCGGTTTTTAATGGCGGGCTGTTCAGGAGGTTTAAATCAGGGTTAATATACTTTTTACTCTTTCTAGTAGTAAATAATACAACAAAATTACTCAAAAATATTTATTTGGAATTTGGAACAATGTAAATATGCAAATCAACACAATTAAAGAGCTATAAACACATAAACTACTGTATCAATATCAAAATATTTAAATAACATCAGAGATGCTGTGTTAAAGTGAATTAGTAAAGTAACAGTGCACTGACTTACAGAAACATGAAGATAAATAAATGTTTTCACAGCTTCACGGGCGTAAAACTAACTAACTGGAAGCAGGAAAAAGAAAACAGGAACCCACGCAAAACCTGGAATCAAAAAAAAATATGTAAAAAAAACATAAATATAGGTACATAAGACTTTTGTGAATTAAATCAAACAGCACTTGAATGAAAATAAAATGAATAAAAAATATGATACATATACATCTAATACCTCATTTGTATTTTAAAAATAATCTACATACATAGATTATTGCTATGAAAATAAAATACATAATAGGTACCTATGTGATATGTAATTACGCATTTCTGTTCATCTTGTAGATAGTTAATATAGGCTGTAGGCTAATAATAGCTCAATAATCATAATTTACCTTGTGTAACTTGCTTTCAATTGCTCAAAATCACCGATCAGTCTTTAAAGTAGAGATACGGAAAAATCCTTGGTAAAGAATATCCCAAGATCCTTGGATCTAAAGCTAAAAAAATATAACAGTTAATATATTACCTATTTTTACATATAATATGGCCCATACCTACTACACGCAGAAACGTCGATTTCATCATTTTCTTTATGTAATTAATATCATATATACTTTATTAAAGTGTTAACAAGGAACTTTATATCAAAAAACATCTTTGTACTTATAAATTTCCGCCGAAATATCATAAACAAGCTTCTAATCAAATCTAAACGGCAAAAATTAAAATGGCGCTCGACCTTGCCAGAGGCCTCGGGAGTTGACACATCGCTGACACACAGACAAAAGAAGAGGACGCCGACGTGCATAAAAATGTTCCGTAACAGAAATTGACAGAAATCATATAGAAATATTCAGATTTTTGTCTAGGACAGTCTAGAAGGCCATGCTTTCTGCCTGGGTAGGACCGCGCCAGAACTGTTTCCAATTTTCCGGTTTACTGTCACCCCCCTGTTTATAACCACGAAGTTGCACGAAAGAGTTTTGATTGCATTGGTTACAACTTCCATACGGATGCGGAGGGTGTTAATCTTTTGTTGTTATATATTATGTCAAAAAAAGATTAACCCCCTCCGCAAAGAAGTTGAAACCAATGCAATCAAAACTGTTTCGTGCAACTTCGTGGTTATAAATAGTCTTTATATAGCTT